GAGAGAGAGAGAGGGAGAGAGCAAACAAACAAAGAATGATAACTGGCTACAAAAACTTGCAAAGAAATTAGCATGGAAAGTGGAAGTCATATAACTTTGAGGTTTTGAGTCCTTATATAGAAGAGAGAAGAGAGAAGAGAGATAGTGTGTGTGTGTGAGAGAGAAAGAATGTATGTGTGTACATCTGGAGTCTTCTCTTCCACAAACCAAAGTGTGTGAGTTCAATGGATGATGAAAAGGATTCCCAATACAAAGCAAGAAATGATATTTGTCAAAAAGTGATCAAAGAGGAAAGAGAGGTGTTAAGTAAAGAGTATGGCTAGGGTGTGCTAGTGCCTTGGTCCATGCCTCCACTTAACTATTTTGCACCATTTACATGAGCTGCCCACTCTGATAGGTAGAGGCAATGCGCATTTCCACACGTTTGAAGTATAAGTGTCGATCTTATGTCCACTAATTGCACACGTGTGGGACCCTACTGGTAAATGAGAGAGGGCCATGCAATGGACTTGAGAATTGGGCTCCCTGGTGGTTCTCAGGCCAAGCACATTTGTTGAAGGAATTTTATTTATTTATTTATTTATTTTTTTTGTTGGAGAAGACAGATAGATCGGTACCTGTTTTTGTCGTATAGATTAGGAATCTTTTTTGAAAATGTAAGTGGATGATGTCATGACATACTCTGTAAAATATTATTCTGTTAGCTATTTGATACGTACTATTTATTTCATATTATTTAATTGTTTGACTTCTTTAGTGATTTTTAGCTCTTTTTAGTTATTTCTAGTTAAAAATGTGTAATTTCAGCTAATTACTTTGAATAAGCAACCAGGTAAATTAGCTTTTCATGAATATAAAGTTATACACAAAGTTGCTTGTAAGTTTATGTCATGATTATGAGGATTAATTTTATTGTAATAGTGAATTATCAGCGATTGCAGCCTAACATATAAACTATGCAACATTTTATTCATATATAGTGATCTAATTTCTAAAAGCTCATCAAAGTACCTATGTTCGAGTTGGAGTAATTGAAAATAGGTAAAACCTTAAATAGTTCATAAATTATATGCATTTTGATAATGAAAAAATTTATATAAGGTTACAACCTTAAAATGTAGAATTAAAGGTGCACCTCAAAAATCATTTATAAAAGGTTGTTTGAATGTTGGAAAACCCTTTAATTGATCATCTTGACATCAAGATGTATGAATATAAAAAAATAAAAAATATTTAGTCCACGAAATAGTGTATCTTGTAACACATCATCTGTATCATCCATTTTCAAGATTTCATGTGTTTATAGATCTACTTGATTTGAACCATTTCTACAGTTTAAAATTTTATAATTAAAGATGAAAATAGATTCTCAAGCCATCCTAAAATTTTTTACATCAAAATTACATTTATGATAGAATTTAGAGGTGCCCCTTAATTGGATTGTTTAAGGTTGCAACCTTATGTAAACCACATCCATTTGATAAAACCATTGAACTATATATAGGACATATATATAGTAAGAAACATATACAATGAGACCATTTACTTTTGAAACAAGGAGGTTATAATTATTATTTACAATCAAACGTGAAATTGCATGTTTGAGGATGTGTCGTTGATTGGGCACAAAGTCTAATATAAAATTTTTGAAATGTTGGAAGTCTTCATATTCAATGGCTAAAATTTGAGACCTCCATATACCAAAATTAAATAGTTTTATAATATACAATTCCGCATAAATATCTTTTAAAATTTCAATGACCCTAGTATGGTGGTCTTTTTCGACAGTAAAAAAGGAAAGCGCGTTGCCTCCATTTTCCAATGACCTATGGTCACAACACTACTTTTTGGTGGGAGACAGAGAATGCCAAGTGGAGAAGATTTGAGTGGGTCTCTTTGACATTCATTTTGTATAGTTATTTTGTGGTCCTTAAGCAACCTTAGTGAAGTACACATTGAGGGTTCCTTTGCTTCTAAGTCAGGGCAAAATAAAGTAAAAGAATGGGAGACATGCATGTGTGTATATGTGTTTGAGGGAGATGCCAGGAACAGGGAGTTGCTTGAGGAGTGGAGCTCTAGAGATGCATGCTAGTCTCTTGGGTTGAGGTGGGCTTTGGGATGTACCAATCACTGTGAGTCCGCACTCTAGATTCAAGATTTTATAAATGTGATTGTCTACAAAGAGATCATTTATCTTTTATACATGGAGGTCACAATCATTTTTGATATCAAATTGTATGACTTGGTGTGAGTCACCTAGTTTGAAAAATATTTTTTTGGAACTTGGGTATATTTAATGAAACTCTCATAACCACCCATTTTGAAATTTAAAAGACAAGAATGATTATAACCTCTATATACAAAAGACAAATGGTCTCTTTGTAGATAATCCATGTAAAAAATAACTTATTATTTTGCAACTCCAATTGGGAAAGCCCAATCAAACCCTCGGGTAAAGGACTAGTAAACTGGTTATTCCCACTTAAAAACAAGACTAAGTTATAAACTTTTCCAATTTCTTTAGGACTCTCTTTGTAATCAATCCCATCTTATAAGCATATGGAACACATTGGAAGGATATTCACATAACATCATGAGTGGGAAAGGTAACCAATAAAGTTCTACTCGTACTTCATTTCTATCAACAAGACCTCAATCAGTGTTGTAAAAACCCAATGACAGCTCCTAACTGGCCAAGCCAGGTCAGAATCGGCGAATGGGCAATTCGGGTCTAAAGACTCCCTGTGCTTGCTCATTCCCACTGGTTCCTACTGCTTTTTTCATTTTCCTTTTGAATAGAAAGAAACTCCAGAGATTTGACAAGCTCGATCCAATCTTTTTAGCGAATTAGTTTGGCGTGTTTGGCCAACCGGTTTGGGATTTTTTTGAGAATCAGTAACATTTCATTCCATTCTTACAAGTATTACATTACAATGCTATTTATTATTTCTAAAACATAATTTCTTTGTTCATATTCATGTCCACCATGATTGAGATTCTAAACTCCGAAACTTTGGAGTCAGAAAATCCATCTCTAAGGTGAATTTTGAATGGAGTGCGGATGAGACCAAACCTGATATCAGAAAGGAAGGGGCGGGGGGGGGGGGGGGGGGTGGGAGATGCCGTGAGGTTGGTGAGCTATGATTTTAATTAAGAACTACCTAATTGAGAGAATGATCATTTTCTAAAGGTTATGTAATTTGCCGTGTATTTTTTGTGTCTCCTTCTCTCTTGCTTCACATATTTATAGGGAGAAGATGAGCCAATGTTCATATTTCTTCAATGGGTATATGAGAAAAAGTCCTCCCTGATATCAAGGATACTCATCCATATGAACGTTGGAAAAATGTTTTATAAAATAAATAATTGTTACACTCTTATTAATTGATAAATATAATGAAACATAGGATTCCTCTCATAAAAGTAGGGAAGCCTAAAATTGTTGGCAAGGCCACATGAGGCCTCATGGCCACACGTGCCAACAAATTTAAATGAGGCCTCTATAAAATCCATTTGAAATTTTAGTTTTTAGATCTAAAATTTTAAAAATTGAGAATCTAAACTATGATTAGGATTTCCAAACAGCTTGGCCTAGTTTGGCTTGGTCCAACCCTCTTTTTTTTTTTTCTTTTACTTTTGCTTCATTTGTGTGCGGCATGCCCTGCCCTATAGGGATAAGGGCTGAACCAGGGCCACAGCTGACCTAACTTAGGGCTTGCTTGTTGCCAACCTTAATGATTAGTATAACCTTGGAAAAGAAATAAATATTTAAAATAAGAAATAAGATTTGAAAATATTATTTTAACGCCCTTAATCGTCAATTTAGGTGGGCCACCACTCATTGACATCCATTTACACGATGGATGTTACGTGTGCCGGAGGACGCTAGTGTAGAACTGCGTCCCCTTACGCACGTTCTACTTTTTCATAGAGGAGAACCAGCGGGCTCTTCTTATATTTTTAAATTCTACTAGTCCGCGGGTTCTTTCTCTCTCTCTCTCGCCCGCGCGCGCGCACTGGATTTTGAAATTTTCCCAATTTCGAAATTTTGCAATTCTCTCTCTCTACATTTCGAAATTTCCTAATTCTCTCTCTCGGTTTTGAAATGTCCGCTACTCCTCAGCCTCTCTCTCCATAGTTATTTAGCTCAGAGTTCTCATTTTCCTCTCTCTCTTATCTGGTTTTTCCGATAGCCTGTATCTGCTATTCTTCATTTTTTCTTTTCTCACAGTACTATTTGATTGGGCATTGTTCTTTTCTGTTTAATTTTGAATTTTTGATTATGATCCATTTCTTGAACTTGATTTATGATCCATTTCCTCCTAAATGCCCGTTTATCCACTTTTTTCTTTTTATGTTTGTGGGTTTTGTGTGAATTGTCTGTTATAGCTTCCATTTTGAGAAAATCAACTCTTATGTCCTTTATGAATTCTCTTTGAGCTGCTTCTTTGCTTTTTATCTGAGTTCTGTGATTTTTGAGATGCAGTTCGGTCATTTTTTTATTCTTATGTCTGGTTTTTTTAATGTTGTGTTCCCTGTTTTATGTGCTTTTTAAATTTCACATAAATTGTTTTTATAAAATTTATTTTTTTGTTCTCTTTGTATATAGAAATTGTTTTTGCAGTGACTAGGCTTAGGGTTTTCTTGTGCTGAATTCTTTTATAATCCGAGGAGGAAGAATATGCTGGAAAATCGAGGTGATTATCTTGTTTGAGATAAAATTTACTACGTTCTAGTGATTTTTGTGATGAATATTACAGATATCTATGGATAAGTTCACAAAAAAAAAAAGGAAGAAAAAATTCCATTTACTGTTGCTCCTGAGGTGATAAAGTATTTCTCTTGCTTAGACTTCACATGTGATGCCAATTTTGTTTTTTATTAAAGATCAGATTAGTAACCTTGTCATGGTTAATAATAGAAAATACATAATAATAGCAAAAGAGCGTATGTTTTCCTGAAAAGATTAGTATAAAGAGCACGTTAATTTTCTATTTCAACTTTGTTGTTGTGTTGCCAGTTTAGGGCTCATGCAACCATGCATTTCACCTCAACAAGGTTACAATCCTCTTTGGCTTTCGTATGTAAAATAGAGCAGAAATTTTTTTTTTTCTCATACTTTAAGCACAACCCAGCCACTCGATTTCACATGTGATGTGTGATGTGGTGGCTAGGGTAATTTTGCCTTTTTTATATGAAAAGTAAATAGTCTTATTATATGCATCCCAATTACTAACTACCATTTTTTCTTTTGATTCATGAGTTCCCCTCAAGTGATTTTGGTTTCCAGTCATGAGCTATGTATGAGCATTTTTGTCTCATTTATGTGTACTACCTCATACATTTAAGGGGGGCAAGTCTTGATTATATGGGGACTCCTTCTAAATATATATTATATTTTCTTTGCAATATTTGAAAATACAGTGTGAGGCTCAGACCTAAGCAAACCGGATCGGACTCAAACCCGGACTTGAATAGTATTCGGGTTCAAGATTTGAACCCATCAGGTCTAATTTTTGAACTTATACCTGAACCCAGATCGGGTTTACCCCTTAAGTCCCAAGTCGGCTCCGGTTCCATTGCGACCCCTGTAAAAATAATCTTTCAGTCATAACAAAGTGAAACTTTTCATTTTCCTTTGGATCGAGAAGTAAAAAAAGTGATTGGGCCAAACACCGTAATTCCAGCCAACTCGACTAGGACGGGCCCAGTCCAAAAAGAAAATTACGAGTCGCTACAACCACCCCACCGGTACTCGTCACGTGTGCCAATTGTAGATGACTCGGTTATTCTATGATGCCCAAACCAAACCACCACGGGTTTGGAGAAATCTAACTTAGAAATTGGAGAGATCCCGGCTTTGGATCTGCAAAATAAGAAAAACATATGCATGAGGTATCAGTGCAGCAATGTACTCGGACCCGACCCGGGTCCAAGTATGGGTCAAGTTCTTTGTATTGCAAAGAAAATATATATTGGAGGGAGTCCCCCATATAAGCAATACTTGCCCGCTTAAATCATATTTTAATATGTCATGAAAATATTATTTTTAAATAGATTTACAATTCCAAACCTCTATTAAAACTTTCAAACAACCAAGATTTAAATTTTATATTTTCCATTTTACTGGTGTTTTTGAGTTGGATAGATAGAACCGATGGGTGTCCAGTTCAAACCAGTGCAACACTCATCTCATAAAAAGCGCTACTAAAGGCTCATGACTCTTAATTCTATTACTAATAGGTAAAAGACGACTCTCTCTCTCTCTCTCTCTCTCTCGAGAGAAAAATTGTCTTCATTCAATCATCCATTCATAACATCAAACCCCAATTTACAATAGCCAAAAGGCCCAAACAGTTATTACAAAATAAAAAAAACCAAAACTACACTACCAAAAACAACTCTATAGCAACTATAGAACAACAACACTTACGTCTGCCAAAGATGCACCTTTTTCGGCTAGACAACTAGCCTCCATATTTGCTTCACGATATACATGGCTAAACATAACATTCATCTCACAACACTCAACTCTCCCTTGTCTCACCAAACCACGTAATAACTAAGTGAATTCAGCTTCACTCTTAACCCACTTAACAACATTTAGTGAGTCTCCTTCTACCATCATTGGTTTGCTAAATTGCTTTCCCAATTAGACGCCTTGAAGAAAAGATCGCATCTCCGCCTCATTTGCTGTAATATTCCCAACAGTTTCATAATATTTCAACAATACATTTCATTCTCTCTCTCTCTTTGACATCGGTTGCTGAGTTCTAGGGATTATATCTCTAAATTTGCGATCTGAAAAAGGATGCGGTTTGCATAGGGTTGCAGCTTTCAATAATGCATTTTCAAACTTTGTCATTAGATACAATTTTGGTGTCGAAAATTCTTATGGTGGTGCAAGAATATATTTTTATATCTAATTACAAAATCTTAAACTCACTAAAATGGTTTAAATCAAGGATGTACCAAGACAAGATGATCTCCATATCGAGATGAACAATTAAATGTTTTTCCAATATCGAAACAACATTTTTCTAAAGATTTTAAATGTGCATATTAATTCTACATTTTAAGGTGTGAAACTTTTATAAATTTTTTATCTTAAAAGTATTATTAGCATGATTGTTGCCCGAGAGAGTAGGGTTGGGAGTGGACCCGGACCCAATCTAGGTCTTGATATGAGTAAAAAAATTGGACCTTGTGAACCTGGACCTGACCTGAGTAGTGTTTTCAGTTAAGTAATATTTAATCTATATCTTAATAATATTTAAATAAATATAATTATATATTTTTAGTTAGGGTGCGGTTTGTATAGTGCGGAGGCTCAAAACAATCAAATTAGTGCCCACCTTTAAATAGTGTCGAGAAATGTGGTTTTAATATTGAAAATCTTTGTGATAGCCTTAAAAAATATATTTTCATCTTTAATTATAAATTTTAAAGCTTTAAAAATAGTATGGATCAAGTAGATTTATGGAAACTTGAAAATCTTGAAAATTGACGGTCTAAAAATACGTTATAAGATGCACTATTTTCAAAACTTGAAATCCATTTTTTTCTCATGTCCATGCATCTTGATCCACTTTCAAAACTTGAAATCCATTTTTTTCTCATGTCCATGCATCTTGATCCACTTTTAAAACTTGAAATCCATGTTTTTCTCGTGTCCATGCATCTTGATGTCGAGATGATCAATTTGGGGATATTTGGGCATCAAAACAACCTCTTGTAATGAAATTTTTGAGGTGGGCTCTAGTTTGATTGTTTAGAGCCTCGGCTCTATATAAACTTTCTCCTTTTTAGTTATAATATTTAAATAGTACATGTATATCGCTAAGATAATATTATGGGTTATGTTAGGGTACTTACATTATAGAGTAATTTATCATTGTATTTAATAAATTTCGGTCATTTCTACCCTTGTTTTGCATATGCTCAGTGTGGGTGATGTCATATCCTTGTGGATGATGTCACATTTTTTCTAATGATAAAAAATATCCGTAGTAAAAAAAGTTTCATGTATAAAATAATAGTATATAAGTGTCTAAATTTGTCGAGTATAATGATAAATTATTCCATAATGTGAGCACTCTACCATAACCTTATTTAAATATACAGATGGTATAAGTCTAGGTCCCATAAAATTTTTTCAGTCTTGATCTGGTTTGGTCGGACCCAGACCCGACCCAACCCAACCCATTGCCACCCGTGGAGAGAGTAGATGGATCACTATTATATTCCCTTGACCGGACCTAGACCCGACCCAACCCATTGCCACCCGTGGAGAGATTAGATGGATCACTATTCTATTCCCTTGCAGTATACTCCTGCAGGAGTACGAAATCTTTTTGCATGTAAGAAAGAAGATTATCTCTCTTGAAAGCGGACAGAAAGAATCTCTCTCTCTAAATTCCACTCTTACTAAGTCTTCTTCTCTCGCTCTTACTACCTACCTTTCGATCTCCTTTCTGGTTTTGCTTTGGAAAAGCAGACAGAAGGAGTTTTAGGAGAGAGAAAGGAGTTTTCGAGAGAGAAAATGCGCGGCGATGATATTGGGAACGACAAGGGTTTGCTGTGGAGGCTTCCTGTTATGAAGTCGAAGCAGCTCGGGAAGCTTGGACCTGGCTTTGGTTATGGCACTGGCTGTGGCTTTGGTTTTGGCTTGGGTCTCTTTGGAGGTTCTCTCTATCTCTCCAGTTTCTTAGAGATACATTTGTTCCGTTTGATGTGGCTCTCTCTCTCTCAGCTATGGTTGGTCTGCTTTTGGGTGTCATCTCTCTTTCTTTCTCTCGTTGCCTCTCTCTCTTATTCTCCTAACTTCAATTAGTAGTTCAAATTTAATTTGTGGGTCTTTTAGTTCGATAGCAAACTGTGGATGGAAATTTGGAGAATTAATTTGATGTGGGTTTGTGTTTTTTTTTGAACTACTGGTTTATTGAACTAAGTCACCGATGAATCATTTTTATTGTCAATTATTATGAGATTTTGATGCTTTCCTTTTAATGGTTTTGAGCTGCAACTCTGGTCAGTCTCATAAATAAACGAGGAATAACTAGGACTACTTTGAAGTAAACCATTTCCTTTCATGCATGCATAATTTATGGGTATGATTCTATGAGCCTACCGGTTTGAAAACAGTATCCCCCTGTGAAGATGGAAGCGGTAGAAATGAAATGGATGGGCGAGAATGGGGACTCCATTTACCTCAATATTTTCTTTGTTTCTTGCGAATTCTTTCCCTTCTTAATGTGTCCAGACAAGACCTACATATGTGCAAAATTTGGGGTCAACTGGACCCATACTTTCTCAAAACCCTAATTTTACTATTGCACAAATGTGGGTTCTTGTCTTTCTAATTCTATCTTGCCCATCCGGCCTATACTGTGCTATAGGGCAGTTGGCTCTTATAATTATTTTCCACAATCTATTCTTTACCTGCCATTTTCGGTCTTTTTTCTCAATTTAGGTCTTCTGCAGAGGCTGATTATGCATAAATTTCAATCCTATTATCTTGAAGAACTCAAAATTGAAAGGGCTCATCTTTAGAAGGGACCCCAATACAAAGGCTGATGCAGATATGTGAAAGTAGTTTCTCTGATTTAATCCACTTCACAAGCTTTGATTCTTGCCATTTTATATGTCATCTTCACATGGTTCAACTACTTCAAAGTCCAATATGTAATTTGGTCTCTTTTATATTAATCTGATTGTTGGTATGAGCTAGTAGGAGTGCTGATATACATGTTTAGAATGGGGAAAAGCATCAAGCCTCAAATGGGAAATTGAAGGAGTGGAATAGGACCACTTTTGGAATTTTGAGGGAGACAAAAGAGTTCTTGCCTTAGTCTTTGGGCTTTGGAGGAAAGAGTCCGTCCCTTTGTTGGAATAACTAAGGATTAATAGAGCCTACTTGAAAAGTGGGTATATTGATGATATCACTGGGCAGGATGAGGTTAGTTAGTGACAGTAAGTTCAGGGTCATTTGGCTTTAAAATATAATGACTAGATCCTTCCAACTTGAGCCAGAGGCGTAGTTCATCGACAGTGGCATGTTCTTGTTTTAGCTATATATATATATATATATATATATATCTGATTTTGACGGCCTTGCTTGTTAGCCTTGCGCTTGACATGGTTTTCTGGATGTGCTGATAGTAGTGATTAAGAGAGCTTTTGGGGATGTGGTCACAAGAGTAGAGTTCACTTTGGGTAGTGATAGGACTATAGGCATGGGTGGATTCTCCTTGGCTTTGTTTTAGACTTTTGGGCCTATTAATACTTAAGAGCTTAAAAGATGTGACCTAGTGGGAATGTTTGTTGTAAAATGAATTTTTTGCTTAGATACAGGGCTGAATGGTATTTATGTTACATCAATCTTCAGGATTACTAGGGCTGATGTGGGGGGTTTTCAGACCAATTAAATTAGTGGGGGAAGTATGTAAAATCTTGGTTGAAGTTTTGGCATCATGGGTTAGGGAGGTCACTTCAAACGTTGTTGTGATAGAAGATCCTTTTGTTAGAGGTAGATATGTAATTGATGTGGTATTTGTTGCATGCGAATGCCCTAGAGGGTGGTGCAAGGTGATTGTACAAGATTAAATGTGTGAAGGCCTTTGCCACATTTTTTGGGCTACTTGAGGGGTTATATAGGCTTCTGCGAAAGCTAGGAGGGCTAGACGTCTTATCTCCCTGACATCTTTCTCAATTGTTTTGACTTTTGAGTCTGCTCTCTAGTAGATAGGTTTTTGCAATGCTTTGGGGGTAGTTATTCATGATGGCCTTTTTGCCTCCATTCTCAACTGTGGAAGATTTTTCTTGACTCATCTCTATGGAACATTTTGCTATTGAAAATTTCATGACATCATGGTGCTATGGACGTTCTTTATTATAGATCAGGAATCTCAGGTTGGTCCTCCAGTACTCAAGGCTGCCTCCTACCAAAGGATCAATTGATGTCACTTGCAAGCCTCAGTTTGGGTTCATTAAGTATGTGCGTCATTGACTAGGTTAAGTCACAAGCTAAAGAAAAAGCTTTTTTTTTACTTTTGATCACTTCAGTTGGGAATTGCATGCAGGGTCCGGGAATGGATTGGAACAAACATTTTGCGAAGGTGTTTCCTTTTTGACTTGGTTGGGAAAACAAAAGAAGAGAAATTTATTGGGTTTAGTGGTCCAACCAAACTGTCTACGAGATTGGTTATGGGCAGTGTCACATAGACACTGACATATAAGTGTCGTAAGTGTCTAGTACGTTGGCTTAAAAAGCTAGTACTACTGGACACATCTTTACATTATTTTTTACAAATAAAATATTAGAAAACGAATAAAGTATATCTCTTCTAAACACAGGAAATTTGGGTAGAGAGATGGTAGACCTTACTATGGTGAGGACTTCTTAAAGTGCAGTGGCAGTTTTCCCGTGGATACTTTAATAACAGGTAGATTTCACGTGGATACTTAATAACAGGTAGAATTTAACACACTAATTTATATTATAGCATCCCTCTTCATTGCACCAACGAAATGTTGACACAGTGGTAGATGGGATGGACAAGGTTCAACTCCTACCAAGAGAACTCTTTATTAGTCATTGTTGAAATATTTTAAAAAATAGTTTGCAGAACCAAAGTCCTCCTATATAACAAATTCAGCTCTACCACAAAGAGCTCTGGGCATTTTGTGTCAAAAAAATGATGACATTTGCATTAAAATTGTTGGCACCATTATAAAAAAAGGTGATATCAATCGACATGTACAGAAAAGTGTCAGTGGCATGTCGTTGCATGTTTACATATGTTGAAGTGTCGACACGTCACACAAGTTCTATATGGAGTATTGGGGTAACACAGGTCATGGGGAATAGCTCTTTCGAATTCAATGAAAGAAGTTTGCAATACAGGCTGGGATGGAAGGCTAAATTGCTTCTAGGTAGATTATGCGAAGTCCTGTGACGTCTTATTTTTTCCCAAATTTAGTAGGAGAAGTTGGGTTTATTATCTTTTAGATGTGAGTTTATTTTTTGACTATTTGATTTTATCATCTTGATGCTTCTTTTTTGATTTTATCATCTTGATGCTTCTTTTTGAAAAAACCTGGGGTAAACACGTCATCTTTCGGATCAGATCTGTTCCAGAAGTTTGTTAATCAATAAGTTTGACATCAATGTCTTCAGTCAACACTCTCCCTTGTCTCCCAATAGGGAAACATGGATTACAACTTTGACTTGTTCAAGATCTGTTGTGGTGATAATTCCAAGAAATTGATTGGATGTTGGTTGTGTTGTCTGGCCCCTTTACACTTGAAAATTGTAGGCTTCAACTTGGCGAAGGAAGAATGTGAACACTTCAACTTCTTCTCTCCCTGTCTTTTCCTTTCCTTATCCAAGCGGAGGTGCCTCAATCTTCTCTCTTCCCATCTAAGTGGAGCTTCTCCAAAACCTTAGGTCCAAATATAATGTTATCTTGAATTCTGTCAAGATTTTTACATGCCACACTCATTCCCCATGTGACATTGGGCATCAAATGCTTCAAATGAAAGATATTATCTTAAATATGCAACTTTATAAGTAGGATGGTTATTACATATATGTTATAGAGGAGAGTTTATTTGGATTTTGAAATAATTACTGAAAGTATAAGCAAAGTTGTATTGGAAATGAGATCCATGGACTCAACCTAAATATGTGAGAGCACCTAATGATTCGGTGTTTTGTACCTATACAACTGGAGAACCTTATCTAAGTGCAGTAATTTTTTGATAGAGAACAGCATAATTGTATTTTCTCATGTTTTTGATAGGCATCACAAAAAACTTATCATGTGGGTTCACTAATATTATTAGCGGCATTCCTGGTCTAAGAAGAGCCACCTCTCATTTAAATATTGTATGTATGAGCTAGTGTATTTGGAGCGAGAGTTAGTGTCTGTTCTTCTTATGATGCAAGAGGAAGATAAGACTTTGTTGTAATAAAGAATAATTTTATATGATTGTACTTGAAGTACACACATGAGGGATTCAATATTTGAAAAGCGATCTCTTTGTTGCTGCAAAGGTAGCCAAAAATGTTTGAATGTTGATGATATAATTCCATAAAAAAATATTTACCCCTTCGAGAAAAATAATTGATGGTATAATTATTGGTCAACTTGGTAAGAATGAACAGGAATTCTAATAAAAATCACCAATTTTCAGTTTTTTCTATCTTGTAGTTATTGAGTTATTTAAATCTGGAGTTTTAAATATGTAGGTGGATATAAATTCTTCTTGCTTTTCTTAAGGCCCATTTTAGGAGTCTCTTATTGTTGACATAACAAATTAAACATGGCATAATCAAAACTATATGTGGAAACACTCGTCTATTATGTAATCTCCTAGCTTGCCTTACAAATGTTATTTCAAATCAAAGAGATCATGGCGATGTATCATCATCATCTTCAAAGCCTTTTTCTAACTAATTGGGTCGGCTACATGAAACCTGGTCCGCCATTATGCTCTATTAAAGGGCATACTCTATCTATTTTCCCGTAACTTCTAACCATGTCCTTTTGGGCCTACTCTTTGCTCTTTTTGAGCATTCACTTGAACTAACTCTCACCTCCTAACAGGTGTTGTTCTGGGTCTGTGTCACACATGGCCAACCCACCTAAGTCTACTTTCCGTCGTCTTGTCGCCTATTGGTGCTACACCTAAATTCTTTCGAATCTATTCATTTCAGAATTGGAATTTCCAGAACCTTTTAGAAACTGGGATATCTTTGTGAGAGCCATGTGGTGGATGGATGGTTGGGGAGATAGTGGGACCGCTGGAACATCATATGACCTTGGGCAGGTCCCATTGTCTCTCCATCACAGTCAGAGCAGTGCACCAGCAACACTAGATGCCTGCATAGATATAGGAAGTGTGCACTCCTTGTACCTGTTTTCAATGGTCACATATATTGTTAGAAATATATGGCTTCTAGCTGTACCTTTGATGGCATGATCAACTAAGGCAGGATTAGCAATATTAATTATTTGTAACTAAGGTATGTGAGAAAAAAATGGCTTCTAACTGAGACTTTGATGGCGCAATCAACTAAGATAGGAATGGCAATATTATTTATTTGTAAACTAAATTTACCGGGGATTGGACCATATTCTACTCCAAAATGGAAACTCTAAGAGCAAGGGGAATCGCAATTGCTAACTGAAGCTTCAAATATGTTGGTGTGGCAGGGGTGGCAAGATTTGTTTTTCCGTTTTTAATTTCTTTAGAGCACCAAACTTTTTACCTTTCTCCATCCATGACAACCTTGAGGGAGAATCACTTATCAAGTTCAAATTGCTCTCTTCCCTCCTCTCTTTTTCTCTCTCTCTCTCTCTCACACACACACACACACACACAGACGCAGACACATTAGGAACTTCTGTTTTGTTACATGCATTTATACCTTGCAGATCATATTTTGAAATGTGGTTCTTGGCAACTACACCTCCATGTGACCTGAAATCACCCTCCTCTCTGTGTAATGTATTTTGTTCTTACGACGTGGATGGAAATACAAATCTTCATTTGTATTTTGTCTCTGTTCTCTTCTGACTTCACAATCATATCTCTTGCAAAACAGAATTTAACTTGAGAGAGTTTCAATAGTGATTGTATTAACTCTGTTAGAACCACGAGTCTTACAGTTGCGATGACATTGTTAGAAGGTCACTGAAAATGGTTGTCTTTGCTTAAACAGTTTCTGATCATTGCTCTTTCTGAAAATGGTTGGCTTTTGCTTGAAACAATTTCTAAGCGATTCTGTATTTTTCTATATCAATGGTGTGAATTGGGGTGGTGGCTGAACCTGCTGTTTGTTGATGACATCAGGTGCAGGTTTGGGCATAGGGTTTCCTGGCTTACAATTTGGATTTGGGCTGGGTGGTGGTTGTGGTGTTGGGTTAGGATTCGGTTATGGAGTTGGAAGAGGAGTTGCTTATGATGAATATAGCCGCTATTCAAATGTCGGAAAGCTTTTCAATGGACATGGAAATCTCCCTTCTGAGTGAGTTTCTGAAGTCTCCGCCCAATATTTTCTTGAGCCTTCTTGGATATAATACATTTTTATGCATTATGATAAGGGATATTTTACCATAACTGTTTACTTTTGGTTTAAGTTCTAATTCCTTGCTAGCCATTAGATATCAGTCTTACAACCGGGGGTTGTGCCATTGACGGCACTCGAAGCTTGAGAAAAAATTCTTTAAGTTTGCATAGAGAAATTACCTCCTACCACCATATTATAGAAGGTGATTGTAATCTTTTTGTGCCAAACGTAAATAGTCTTACTTACCAAAAAAAAAAAAGGTAAATGGTCTTATAGTATCTTCTCTCTGTTACAATTACCCATGCATGTCTACATGTGTGTATCTGTATATGTATGCCTTCTCCCTCTCTTTCTCTCTATATATATAGGAAAATAGTTTGATATGGCTGCATCCCTATCAAAGTAAGTAAAGCCTGACTTTATAACTCATCCAAAATTACAATTCAAGCATTGGAAAACCTTTACATCGATCATCTCAACTTGAACTTGGTTGTGAAAAAAAATTAGGATTTTAAGCTCTAAAGCGTATATTGCAATAAATTATCTAGACCATCCATTTCGCCTTAAAACTAAGGGTTCGTAGTTTCGCAAGATTTGTACCGTTTTTCTAGTTTCAAACTTTATTGTTCATGTCGGAAATTGGTTTTAGAGCTATCATGGAGATTTCCTTTGCCGAAATTGCTTTGTGGATGAGGATTTGAGGGGAGGCTTTATTTTGATTTCACGT